CTCCGCGCGGATGTTCACTCTCGGCACTACTCTCACATGGTAGAGAGCTATGGTCGAGGAAATCCTCGACCGTTATTCACCCTGCCGCAAAGGGAAAATCCTAGCAGAAGAGGTGCAGTGTCAAAGTGTCAGTTTCACCACTCCTTCCTATCGGGCCATATCTACAGCCATGGACAAATTTCGATAAAGAGGCGGCTCAGTTTTGAGGAATGGGACAGTAAGGGTAACAGAGCCGCGCACATCGGTGACTTCACATTCCAGGCGAGGCCGGTTCCAATGAACTAATCTCTATGGGTAGAAAGCTTCAACGACCTTGGCTGAGTGGATCCACGAACCATATGTGGCAGTTCCGCTTGTGCCTTCCCTGGAACCAAGGCCAATTTGGGGTGTGACATGTGAAAGTGAGAGGGATGTCTAGACCAATCGAGTCGAGGGCGAATTAATGGCCGGCAGATGAGAGAGAATGGACTCCTGATAGCGGCGGCGGCATCCCTCTCACTTGCTGCCCGCACCGTCCGTCGTATGACCGGCCGTGGTGCCGCTTGTAGCCGACCCGATTCGTCCTCGAGTCGCTCGTTGCCAAGCCCCCGCCCTTCCACTCGCCACGGCCACCCACCGTTGTGCCGCCACACACACACACACTCACACACTCGCACATACATACACACGCATACACACATACATACACACACATTTTCGCCGGCAGCTAGAGCGCATGTGCGCCATGTTGGTCACATTCAGATCGATAACCGCAGAGTTTTACACTTTTGCCGGACATTTCTGCAATTATCCTCATTCGAGTAGTTGTCATAGCAATTGTGTCGATTTAAATGCCGCATGTTGCGATATGTTAGCCATATTTGCAAGGTTTTCCACGAGGTACATTTATTAACCCACGTTTGAGATCGAATTCTATGAAAACTGTGCCCATTTTCGAGTTGTGTTTGTGTCCATTATCTCATCTTTCAATCTGGAATAGCCGACCTTGCAAGGAAACTTTAAAATCTCAACTACTTTTTTTTTCAAAATGTGCTACATTTTTTCATTTTTTGACTCGCTTTATCTCCCGTGTGATACATGGAAAAATGAAATTTCCTGTTTTTATTCGTTATAACGCCCTCCTCGCTCCAAAAAAAAAGAAGCCACAGTTGGTTCTACTGCTTCCTTCGAAAGTTCTGCAGCCATAGTTGTTCATACAGTTTAAATGTTTCTGGTTGTGGTTGCGCAATATTGAAATAGAAATATTTGAGTTCAGGGTCAAGAGTGTATTTGGAGGGTGTTTGTGCCAGGGCAGTAGCAATCGGGGATTCAAATCATTCACATGCGCATTCTCCACTTTTCTATTTTTGTGTAGATCCATTTTGCCATTAAGTAACAACAGCTACAATTCCCAGCCACCCGCTCGCCCTCCGGGAGACGTGTCGTTTTCTCTCTGGGGTCAGGTGTCACCCAGTGCACGCGATCATTGAAGCTTAAGGTTAAGTTTGGGTTTAGACTTAGGTTAAGGCTTATGCTTACACATTGGCTTATGCCTAAGCCTATGATTGGGCCTAGGCTTAGTCCTAAGCTTGCTCCGAGCGAATGAACGGCGTCTCAATTTTAGGTGACCTGACCCCAGGAGGAGAAACGCTACGCATCCTCCCCCCCCCCCCCCACTCCTGCGAAAAATTGGATTACTTTTGCCGGGATGAGCTCTGTGCCGCAATGCCCCGCCCCCTCCCAAGTACACTTCTGCCTAAATCTGTTTGCTGTGCTGGTCAGGAGCTGTTAATCGTGAGGATTCTGCTCGACCTGTTTTTGCATTAGAGACATCTGCTAGTTATACGGTAAAATGGAAACACTCATGAAATTTTCTTCTGTTCTGTTATCTGGCGTTTTCGACGCGGTTCGTCATGCGAACACTATCACATGGATGCTGAGTTATAGGCAAAACCTATAACGCTTATGATAACCCATGGACTCATGAAATGCTTCCTCAAACAATTGGGGCTAAATGTGCGATTGATATCACCGCTCATGGAAGAACTATGCCGGAGAAAGCCCTTTCTTAGGGCTATCGAACCCTATGCTGGGATAATTAAGCCTAGGAGAAAAGGGATATATTTACGAAAGGCAGCTCGATGGTTAGAGAAATTCTTGTCTCCTTCAATGTTAGGTGCAAAAAAAGAATAAAATTTGAAAAAAGCCAGTTCGCTTCGTTAGGCTTCAAGATTTTACCAAACTCAGGAAACGATCCGTATTGCTCGGCTTAGACATCAAATCCCACTTATCATATTGTTTTCGGCCCTAATGACCGCTTTCTATATTTCCGCTCAGAAGTATTCCGCATAACGTATAGTCCCTTTCAAAAAACGAGAAGAGTGTCGGGTGCAGACCATACACCACAAGTGACGACGGCCTCCACAAAATGTAAATGTTTTCTGCCAATGAAATGATTAGCCTGTTGCAGTTGTATTCTATCAGTTGTCATTACAACTATCATTTACCAAAATCAGCTATCACTATGAACTACTAACCAGATTTACTTGGAGGCCGTCGTCACTTGTGGTGTATGGTCTGCACCCGACGCTCTTCTCGTTTTTTGAAAGGGAGGGTACTTCCTGTCCACCCTGCACTAGTTTCCGTGCTCTCGTTTCCAGCCTGCTCGGCGCCATACCTCTATGTTGCGGTCGCTTTTCATTCTCATCGTTTTGATTCACGTGTATTACCTTTGATTCAAATGTGATTCATACTTATGGTGTTATTGGTGCTTGAAATTTTCATTTGTGAACATCAATCACCTAATTTCTGGCTACTGCTCTTATCCGGCGCACATCGGCTTATTGGGTCGGCATGATTAGATAACGCGCGCTATCTACTCCGCTTAGAGCGCTAGTCGCATATTTTATGGTATACGATGACCCCTGAAGTATTTTCTTGCCCTAAAACCTTTCTATTTGCACAACTGTTTTGTATGTAATATCCTCAGAAACTTATTGACAAACCTATCACATCAATTGAAAGTTTGAATCGTTTGGAGCCAAACAACTTTGTTAGGAACTACGGCTTTTACATTCGCTCCAATCTGTCAGCCCTTTCGATAGGTGTGGGTTCCTCAACTTATCAGTTTTTTTTTTCAGGGAAACTTTATTTTTGTGATACGCGCAATCAGATTTGCGCTGAAAGATGCCATTTGTCGTTTCATCGTTGTTTCTACTTTCATGGAGTTCTTTTGCTGTTGCAACGATCTCTTTTACAGGTGGCGATGAGGGATATATGGGACGAGACTTTCTGGTTACCAGAGAATGTCTCATGGTCTGACATGAAAGGATAACGATAAGGTGCATTATCCACATGTGGCGGACCTTCAATATACAATAATCTTAGGTTTTGCCTTACTGGTATGTTCTAATTTTATTCATACTTTGACTACGTATTTTTAATACATTTTGACTCTTGAGGTGTTG